AATAGATATCTGTGTGTGTGTGTGTGCGTGTGTATGTGTGAGTGTACAGTCATTAATAGATATCTCTATGTGTGTGTGTGCGTGTGTGTGTGTGAAAGAGAAAGCGAGAGAGAGAACGAGAGACCTTGGATGTGGCAGAGCCAGAGGAATGCAAGTCTTTAGTGTATGGCTTGGTCTACGCTAGGACTTTATACTGAATTTAGCCACATATGGTGGATTTTCTAAACGATGTATCCACACTACCAAGCCTGTCACACTAACCTTAAGTACCACTGAAGTCATGAACCCATAACCGCCCACTGCAGTTTTGGTCCTAGTGGGCACCAGGAGCATAGCCCAGAATGCAAAGCTATCCATGGTGCATCTCTCTCTGAGTTGACAGAAGGCTCCCTAATGGAGACACGTTACTTTGGACTTTATCGTATTATTACTCACAGTGAGTATATGGACCTTCAAATGCAAAATTGGTTGATCAGAAATCAACCATAAAAGGTTCGACCTTATTTTGAAGTGTGGAGACATAGCCTTTGTTCTCTGATGCAAAAGAAACTGTGTCACATACAGGACTACAGAAAGGCTGGGAAAGTCAAAGAGACCCAAACAATATACAATAAGCATGGTTACATGTGCAGTAGTTATTTTAGATAAGCAAATTACTGTATGCAGTGATTAACTTTACAGAAAGATACCACATAAAGACATTATGTAATATTGTAAACGGCAGCCTAATGCATAACTTCATTTTTTTAAACCTAAGAGTCAAAATACCAGCTTTTAAATGGATGCTATTAGAGTCCTCCTGGACTACTGCCATTCTATGCAGGCAGTAAAAGGTTTCTTCACAGAGATTCAGCTATACTGTGCAACTGAGAGGCTTGAAGTATGATCTTTATGATTTTCCTTCACCTCTCCAAATTGCTTGAGATTAGTTTTAGGGTTGCCAGGTGTCTGGTTTTCTACCAGACCATCCGGTATTTGCACCATCTGTCCGGTAGAAAAAAATCAGAAAATACCAGACATGTGCAATGTCCGGTATTTTCTGAATTTCCGGCTGGGCACTGGACGGAAGCCTGGCGGGGGAGCGACTGGGAGGCGGGGACAAAATTAGAGCCCTGTGCTGCTGTGCAAAAGCCAGGTGGGGCGGGGCGGGGCGGGGCGGGGCAGGGCCCTGGGAGGCTATACAATAGGTTTTATTATTTCGAGAAGGGTACGCAGCCTAAAAAGTTTGAGAACCACTGTGGTAACAGTCACTGCAGGAAGCTGGTGCACAAATCCTACTAAGTTGTTGAGTCAAAAGGTTGGGCAACTAAGAGTTTACACTTGACTACTGGTTCAAATGAAGCTGCTTTCCAGAGGTCAGCTCACAGGATGCCAAACAAAACAGGAGGCTGAACATGCTGTTCTTCAGCCCAATCAATTCATCTTTGTGCTGTACATTCAAGCACTGACATTTAGAGTGGGTACTGCAACAACATGCCATAACTTGCCATTAAAAATACAAATTATTTAAAAAGCAAGGTCAAGTTCATGAGGAATATAACAACATTTCTTTACTGAACAGCTAAAATGCGCCTGTGCTGAGGCCCCTTTGACATAATTTTGCTTTTTAAGACTATTCAATCTTTGGGTACACCACTCCAAACTTTGTGTTCTAAAATGGCAGTTTTTCTCAGCAGCAAAACAGGAAATGCTGAAAAGAGAGTTGCAATTCTGACATTCCTGGCAAAAACAGAGACCTCCAGGTCCACGCTGTTGTTATTATTATTATGTTCCACTTAATTATCTGCTTTTAACAATAACCTCAGTCTCAGCACTCCCCAGGGAACACTGTGAAAGAAATAGCTGTTTCATTGCTGATTATGGTAAAAAAGTGAAGGTCAACAGGCTGCAAATTCTAAACGTGGGACAGAATATTAATCTGCAAAGAGGCTGAAAAAGTGTCAAGCTTCTGAAGTCCTCCTTACATTTACAATTGTTTGCTGTGCAGATACCCAAAACTATTCCACATATACAAAAATGACAAATATTTTCCAGTCCCAGGTAGCTCTGCCAGTGATAAAAACTCAAAAGTAAATAAGAGAAGCCTTATTAGTGATATTCAAGATATAGAGGGAGTCCAACAACCATCTTTTTAGAAGTGTATCTGAGCTGTCAGCTGCCCTTCTTACATTGCATTAAGAGTCTCCACTAATTCCTGAATCCCACATTACCTTTCTACCTTGATCACAAAAGCCAAGTATGCAGTCTCTTTTTTTAGGACCTGATCTTTCCCGGATTTGAGTTCCCCCTGCTCACAGAAATCCAGAGCATTCTTCTCCTTTTACAAAAAGTCTAGCACACTACAACATGAGGCCCTCAAAAATTTTGAGGAATACTCTTACAAGTGGGTTGCCAGGTGTCCGGTTTTCTACCAGACAGTCCGGTATTTGTGCCCTCTCGCCGGTAGAAAAATTCAGAAGATACCAGACATGAGCAATGTTCATTATTTTCTGAATTTCCCGCTGGGTGCTGGTCGGAAACCTGGTGTGAGCAGGGGAGTGACTCGGAGGCGGGGCCATGATTGGCGCTGGGAGCCCTGTGGTTGCTTGCAAAAGCCGGATGGGGTGGGGCGGGGGCCAATCACGCCCCGCCTCCCAGCTGGGAGCCTCTG